TAAGTATTTTCCATTTTACATATACACTTCCATAAATTAAAAGGAATGAAGTTATTATAGTTAATATATGCAAATCGTTATCAAATCGTATATTTTCCTTTTCTTCCATTACATGTGTGCGATATATATAAATATATAAACTATGTTACATGCGTTATATGCGTCTCTAATTATTTTTTCCTAGCAAATTTCAATTGAATCTAAAGCCGCCACGTCAGTTTAATTGATATGATAATTGATTGACAACTAAGCAAGGTTACTTTTAATTAATACAAACTTGAGGTTACATCTTTTCAAATGTTTCTCAATTAATATATAGGGGATTTCACTTTGTTACTCTAACGAATCAAGCAAAGCTTTACTATATATATATACTACATTTGTTCCACAATAATACAAGTTTTTAGACCAAACTCATTCACTAATATCTGTTCCATTTTAATATTTTTACAAATTTCCTCTGAAAATTAACTAATATGAAAAAGCCTTTGCAATTAACATGGTTACACATTTCCTTTTGAAATATGTGACTAGTATACCTCAATTGTGAATACGAATACCAACAAAAGTTAAGCTATTCTTGTCAATAACAACAACCTTTCATATCTTAGAAACCAATTTTGTTGAACGATTACTTTTTGAGTACACAACCCCAAATTCTGTGAGATTTAAGTTAGAGTTTCATCTAAAAATGTAGCAAATTAGTAGTACTTTTTTGTATTTGCTCTTCAAAAAGTTTCATCAACAATAATAACTTTTCGAATTCTGTGTGTTCACCTTGTATTAGATTTTCTAGACATAATAAAGAGAAATCTGAATTTACCATCATAAGAGGTGTATGTTCACGGATTTGCTTCTCTCACCCACCATATGCAAGTATTTGAGAAATTTTCCAAATTTTTTTTTAATACTTCTGATTGTGTTAATTACAAACCCATGTGGTATCATGTTAAAGAATAAAAATTCTCACATCCATTCGTTGTCCTTATAATCTGTATGGCATCATTCGTTGTCCTTAATAACTTTGTAATTGAAGTTGTGCTTCCCTGAGGAGATCTCAAATGTTGCTTTCAAAAATGTTTTGCTTTTAAAATGTTGATCATTCTTGACAACATCCAACAAAAAGAAAACTAAAACTCTTTCTCATGTTTTTCCTTACTTAGTCAGTGTCACCATCATCATATTCATCTCAGTCACTCTCTTCATTTGACGATTTTGATGCTTCGTTTTTAAAGTAATTTAGTAGTGCTTTGCAAGAAATTTTCGTAAGAACAAATTATTTATCTTATATATGTAATGAATAATGAAAAAAGTAATTTTTTGTGCTAAAATTATGGGTTTTGAAATACAAATATGATAATGATGGTTAAGGATGGTTTGGTTACTTTACATGGTTTTGAAGCATAAAACAACAATACACTGGTATTAAATGATATTGTGGATTGTTTAACAAGTTCTTTTTCATTAACAAGATTGCAATAGAATTGTTGATCCCTGATTGTCCACTGGAGAAGCAGAAGTTGTTTTGTTTCCGATATGCCTTCCAAGCTACTATGTATGCGTTGTGAAGAGAGTGTAACAAGCGAACACATGGTGAACAGCCACTGTCTCTGCAGCCTTTGATGATGTTTACCGATAAAAAAAATACGTAACAAACTCAGTTTGGTGAGTTTAAAAGGAGGAGAGGGATTAGAATGCATTTTGCAATATTGGTTTGGAACAAGATTGTAAATAGGATAGATAACCAGGACGCGTTAGTTTAGGTGAACGGTTTGTAGCTGTAAATACGGTTATGGGTTCGATTCGTGCTGGCCACCAAAGTTTTCATATGGGGTCTTCGGCCCGAGGAGAACATGTGGTCTGGGGTACTAAACCGAGTCCTCGCCAAAGGCTTTAAGCCTACCATGTGGCTAGTTTGAACCACATAAGTGGGGCCAGGATACTCCTCGTAAATAACATAAAAATAGGATAGATCTAAAATAATAGGAAATGAGCATACTGAATGAATTTTTTTCAACTAAAGATGCACTTGATGTTAAGAAGTCTTTTGATTAATAAAATTTAATATTTATTTAAAAAAAATACAAAGTAAAACAATTCACCTCAAATTGATTTCAACAGTTCTGGCTCAAGTCGACCGCTATGGATCCATAGTATCAAAGGTCTAGTTTTCAACTTTTAAAGAAAAAAAAAACTATTTTCAAGAAATAAGTATACATGTGGTCTAAATAATTTTTTATATATGATTTCATATCTAAATTTAATAATACAGTGAAACCTCTATAAATTAATAATGTTGGAACTACACCAAAACTAATTTTTTATTAATTTATAGAGATTATTAATTTATCGAGATATTAATTGAACCAAAAATTAAATTTGGAATTATAAAATTATATTAATTTATAGAGATATTAATTTATAGATTATTAATTTAAAGTCTTTACAGTATAAATTTTTAAAAAGATTATGCTAAAATTATGCTTTTAATTACTGAAGGGCCCAAAAAGTTTTTAGCCCAAGGGCCCTGTAAACCATGAGCCGGCCTGGACTTAGGAGCTCCCTTTCAATAAAAATTGGTTACACATTTTTATATCAACATTATACACGATCGGCAAGAAGAAGATGGAGACCCAAAGAGTAGTGATGGAATAAATGGCTGGTTAAATACTACTTAATACTATAGTATAAAAACTGCAATACACAATTTGAACAGATAGAGAATTAGAAACATCATTTGTTTACAGAGAGTAAAAAGAGTGATGTTTTCAAGCATGTGGAGAATCAAAAACACTCAACAGGTGTACTCACACAAAACATATCAGCCATCATCAAGATTCATTCAACATGCGACATCGCGTAGCAACCTTCCTGAACTCATCCAAGCTTAGCTGAAACCCCCCCAAAAAAAAAAAGATAGAAAGATTATATTATTCCTAATGGATATAAATTGGAGTTTTAGTACACACCTTTCCATCTTTATCCAAGTCAAAGCAACGAATCATGTCTTGTATTTCCTCGTGTGACCAAGTGAAATCATGAACAGTGGCCATAGTTGCGACATCTCTCAGAGTAATGAAACCTTTTCCCTCTTCTGCATATACAAAAACAAAATAGATGATGATCCAATACAGTCGAAATATGGCATGAAGATATTATGTTAGAGATATTACGATCAAACTGAAAGAAGTATAAGACCAATTCATCCGCAGTCATCTGCATCTTGCTCATCATCAAGTCCTAGAACAAGAGCAGTTCACAGTTAGGAAAAAAACATAGAACAAATGAGAGTAAAATTTGATTATTAGGATTAAAAAAAACCGAATTTTTCTTCTTGGAAGATCCAGAGTCATGGTCGTTTATCTTTTTCTTGCTAAGAGAGCCTACTGCTACTGCAACAGAGTCTTGTAGAGAAAGCGCTATTGCCTGCAGCACTCAACAGAGTCTCGTAAGCCAATTGCAATAATAACGTTACAACACAAATGCTTCTTTCTACACAAATGCTTATTACAATGGATTTCTTACAACAGTACCTTGTTTAAGTCGTCGTCGTCTCCAAGGGGATCTGATCTACACAAATGCTTCTTTCTCTTTGGCGGGGAGGTGGCCTTGCTCTTAAGAAGAAATCCATTGTAGTAAGTAAAGATAATCATCATCCTCTCTCTCTCTCTCTCTCTCTCTGATTTGATCATTAAATTAGCAAAATATTTTGTTACCTTTCTTTTATTGGAAACAGAGCTTAGAAACTCCTCCTCCTCGTCTGTTTCATCTCCGGGTCTGTAATCTTCGTCTTCTTCACGGGAATTAGGTTTTCTTATAGATGGAGGCATAAAAAGGGCCTTGGCGGCTTTAGAGATGCCGAGAGCTTCTAATCTCGCTCTGTTCTCGGCGATCCTTGTCAACCTCTTCTTCTCGTACTCCGACATCTTATTGTCACCCTTTCCTTCTTCTTCTTCGTTACTGTTTCTCATTTCCTCCTCCTCCGGTTCCGATTCCGATTTGTCGCCGCCGGACCTCGAGCTCTCTCCTTCACCCATTTGAATCTCCGCAATTGCCCTAATTTGCAGTTAGTTTATTTTGCCGCCTCATTTCTCACTCGATGTTGGGCTTTTACATAAATAGGCCCAATGTATGGGACAATTAAGAAAACCCAAAATTACAGATTCAGATCTTCTTTCACTTTCGTCTGAGCTTTACTACTGGTTTGACAAAAAAGCCCAAGGATGTCCTTTTCTTATGCCACCATCTTACTTTTAATAGGCTAATTAATTAACTTCCACCGTCCCTCACATTAGTACTATTTTTCTATCTGCTCCTTTTTAGGCCTAGACGTTTTAAACTTAACCCGACTTTAACATGAACCAGAAAAACCGAAACTGTATTCAAACTGTTTTAAAAAAATATCTGAACGGAACTTATGAACTTACTACTTTGAACTTTGGTTATAACCCGAACCGAACCGAAATCAAAATTAGGATCCGAAGATACCCGAAATTAGTTAAAAATGTTAATGTTTTTATATATGTTAAGGTGATTTAGATATTTTAGAATATTTTACAATTTGTTTTATTTATTATTTGAATACTTTTAGTTAATTTATATAGTTTGACTAATTTTTAATTAGATTTGTAAATAATTTATATATTTAATTAGATTATTTTCTATATTTTATGTATGTCTAATATATATATATATATATGTATATCAAATACACTCTATATGTGATTTGACAGAATAACACTAAAATATTAAAATGAAAATAAATTTGAGATTAAATCCATTTTAACAACAAATAAATCATAAATGATTTATTTCTATTTCTATAAAATTTATATATATAGTAATTGATAATTTATAATTTAGTGGGATTATATATTTAGCTAAATTTCTAAATACTTTTTTGTCATCAAATTCTAAATATTAATTTATTATTATTCTATCAATTATATTATATAGTATATTAAACTAGTTTGGAACAGTTTTTAATTAATTTTTCATATTTATTAATTATATCGCTTATTAGTTTATATAATTTCTAAGGTAAATGATCGATACAAAAGAAAAGAAAAAGTTTGACCTTTCATATGAAGGAGAAGGAAGCGCAACGCGAATGGTGTGAAACGTGTGATTGGTAAATTATGGCCCTACACCAACTTTCTCATTTCTCTTTCTTTTTCATATATTTTTTCTTTAATTTTGTCCTCAATTTTATTTGATTAGAACTACACATATATAAAAAATGTGGGGATGAAAAGACTGCGTTGTTTCTAAGCTGACTTGACTTGTTAATGGATAAAGCAATGTAAATAATATAAAAGACAAAAAGAGAAACACGAAATATCAAAGATAAGAATCAAACCATGTAATTCAAATACAGTTAGCTTAATATCGAATTAGATAATATAAGTTGAAGTGAAGCAAAAGTAAATACGTATAAGCTACTAGCTATTTATTTGGATGTATATGATCTAACATTGATATATGATTCTTTTAGAACGACCATAGGTTGAATCTTGAATTCGATTAGAGTTTGTTTACTCAAATAATTACACTGCAATTAAAGAAAAAGGGTTCAATTGTAAAGTGAGAGGTTGAGAAGAAGATATGGTGGGCAAGCTTGGCATCTACAAAAGGTAAGATAGAGACTGAAAGATGGTGAAAATTGAATCAAAAGCTTGTCTCATTAAATTAATTATTTATAATAAATCAACACAAGTAAGAAACGAATTTAAATTATATAAAATCAACTTTTGTCATGCACACAAAATCACACCCATCAATTCCAGCGACCCCTCGTTCCCACCTTATAATATAACCATAATGGCCAACTTTCGTGTTAGCTAGGGACCAGGCACTTCCAAATTTTATATCCTAAAACATATTAGTAATATTATTAATTTAGAAATTTTAAAATGGTCGTTTTAATTAGAAATTATGTATATTAGCTTTGATTAATATGAGAAACTAATGAGTTTCCACAAAACGAAAACATGTCAAAACATTTCAACTAAACACTTTCCACGTGTATATTTTTTTCATTTCAGCTTTTTTTTTTGTGCAACTTTTTCCTTTCAGCTAAACACTATGTGTCCATGTTGTCAATATTTGTAATAAGCATAATTATGATCTAAGCATAATTATGATCTAGAAGTAATTGGCAACATGAAATAAAACATGTCAAACTTGACTTTGAAAATATATCTTGTTTGTTAAAAAACTTGAAAAAGAAAAATATGAACAAAACAGTGGGAATATTGGACACATACAAATGTTAGTAAAAAGTATGATCATAACCAAATCAAAATCTTCCTAACTCCTAGGAGAGCCTTCTTCAGGACAAAAGTACTTGATGTGTCGAAAAGAAAAAAGAAAACACATATATCAATTAATTGCAGGACAATATAAATAAAAAAACCTTAAAGCTGCGTATTTATCATCATTTAACTTTTTGTAAGCAATGAACCTCCAATTGTTGTCTATTTCTTAATAACATTTCGCACATATTGTTGTCAAAAGTTAAAAGATCAAACACAGCGAGAAAGGAAGATAAAGGTTGATGGCTTTTTAATTATTAGAGCCCTTCCAATATCAAGAAGATGCTTCGCTATGTGAAGTGCCATCTAACAAGTATGTGAATGATATTTACATATCAAGAGAACACACGAATTTTTGTTTATTAAATTTGAAATTTCATCCATATTAGTTTTGAGTCAAAGATACATAATCATAAAACAATATTATACTAAAACCTGTTGTTTTGCCAATTTTGCGAGGAAAGACAGAACAACAATTTTATTTGGAGGGTGTTATAATCATAAGACTCTCTATTACATCATATTCATTATCTAATGAAGGAAGGATGCGGTGATCTAGTAGTAAAATAAGGGGATTTGCATTCTTTTTTTTCTTTTCTTGAAACAACAGGGGATTTGTACTCTGTATCCTAATTTAAACCAGTTAAATATAATAGTAAAAAAATTACTGGTTTATAGTCTTAAATATGGAATGATTACATACAGAATGAGTGATATAAATCAATGATCATAACGTCTGTAATTAGTAATTACTTTCTCCTCATTAAAAGATCTGCAAGAGTTCGTCTAGACCAGTCAAAATATGTTACGACCCACCAAGTTTTATCAACTGTAGCTTTTGATCTCTGAAAATGTGATGATGACTAGACCTAGGTCCCAGACTTAGTGGAGCAGAGCGCGCGTGACCATGGCCACGATGTGTTCCTCCACGGTGGCAAGTTATGGATCTACTTCTTTCTACACAATAGTTAAACCGTTGATCTCATCGATCATCTCCACAGGGCAACGACACATATGTGTATTGCCGTACACGTGTAGATTGAGTGATCACGACCCTTTCTTCTGCTTCTGGACAGAGGCTTACCTGTCAACTATTCAATCAACTGTCTCCAACTAACGTTTATTGCACAAAAGACAATAACTTATAGGCTTCTTGTCAGTCCCCAATACTATTTATAATGTCTTACCGCCCTTTCCATTTATTAATCATCCACTATTACAATTTTATAGAACAGTAGAACGGGATTTATTGTTTTTAAACGGCAAACGAAAGAGTAAAGAAAATGTAGATTTTGATTAGTTCTGAAATACAAGCTTTATTTAGAGAAATCCAACTAATGTTGAAAAGCAATGGCCGCATTATGTAATGCCTGTGTATGGACCATTTTAAAAGGGAAAGAACAAAAGAAGCTATAAACGGCGCACACAAAAATGTATTGTGGACAAAAAAATAATTAAATATTAGAAGACCCATGTGACATCATAGAGACACATCTATTAAAAAATAAAAGAGACCCTCGCAAAGACACAAACCACAACAAACTCTAAGCAATATATATAATCACAATAATGAGCAGTAGCTTTCTGCCTCGCATCAAAATCATCACCCATTTATATTTTAATTACTCTCCCAACAACACAAACCAAAGCAAGCATTCGATCATGATACAATACAAGTCTTTGTATAATACACACATTTGTAGTATTTGATTTGCTATATAACTACTAATCAGAAGTTTAATTATATACTTTGTGAACGTATTCCATCGCACCGAGACTTGAGAGTTAAAGTAGTAAATAATCGGAAAGAACTAAAGATTATGAAAATATATATGTCATTAATTAGATGATAAATTTAAAATTAAGAATTACAGAATAATAAAAATTGAAACAAGTAGAGTAGGGTTGGAGTAGGATTGTCCGGGGGAGGAGTCAGGAGCTGCGACATCTCCAGGCGGAGACACCGACGAGTTCTGTCCTTTGCCAGCAGAGAAGAAGAGAGTTATGTTTCTTCTCGACGTGAAAGCCTCTCACCGGAGTCCGTTGAACCAAACACTCAGCCTGAGACTCCGTGAAGTTGCTGTGCGTCACCGGCGAGAACCCCATCTGCATGAACATCGCTTGCCACGTCATCATCGGCCTGCTACGGCTACGATCCATGACCAGCTTCTCGATCTCCGGCTGTATGAGAAACCTCTCGATCTTCTGCATTGCGTCGAGGTTGGCGTTGACGGCGTCGAGGGACTCGAGGAGAGCGGCGTGTGAGTGCAGCGAGTGGAGGAGATGTTGCGGGAAGGGCAGATCGGACCTCTCGCACCCTCTGTCTGAGCAGACGATGATCGCCGGAGAGAGATGCTTCACGAAACGGAGGACAAGCGGCGTGTTCGAGAAGGAGGAGGGGGAGAGATTAACGGCGACGGCTTCTTTATCTGAGGAGGAGGAGGAGAAAGAGGCGAGGAGGTCGAGGGTGAGAACTTGGATGTCGAGGGAGATGTTGATCTCGGAGGCGAAGTGTATGAGGTTGTCCTGAGTGAAGCCGAGCTCAAGCTGGTCGTGGGTGGCGGGAGAAGCGAAGACAGTGATTTTGAGGGAAAGGGGATGGCTGTTGTTGTTGTTGTCGCGGAGGACGAGCTCTTGCATGAGGGAGGCCCATTGGCCACCGAAGCCGATGTCGAAATCGATGATGTGGAGGCGGTTGAAGCCGTGGAAGGACTCGAGGAGGGATTGGTTGGAGGTGAAGTTGGCGAACTGGAGAACGGGGGAGATCTCGGAGAAGGATTTGTAGGCGGAGATCTTGAAGATGAGGGAGTATGGGTTTAGGGGTTGGTGGGAGGCGTTGTTGTGGAGGAGACTGTTGTGGAGAGCCTCTATGAAGTAGAAAGCTGCCCTTTCGAAAGGCTTTCCTACGGGTGAAGAGAGCTGTTGATTGAGCCGCGCCAATATCCCCTGTGCCAGGCCTGTGTCCCCACCGCTCTCCATCACCTCCGCCACCTTCAACACCTGCTCCCTTATCATCCCCTCTTTGCTCCCATCCGTATACCCTTGGTTGAGACGCTTCGCCGGTGGAGGAAGCGTCGCCGCCGCCGCCGGGATATGATGGCCGTAGAAGAGGGAGGGATTCTGGGTGAAGTGAGTTTGGCTTTGGTTGATTAGGAGTGGCTTCTCCTCGAGAAACAGTGGCGGAACGGAGTGGTCTAAGCCGAAGCCGGTGGTGTCGACGACTCCGAAGCTGCCGAGGGATGTGTAGTCGGAGTGGTGAAAGGTGGCGGGAGATTGGGAGGCTGATGAAGTCTGGAGGATGTTGTTGAGTTCATGGGAAGGATCTTGGGAGTCTCCCATCATGATGAGCCTGAGGATGCTCTGGTCGTTGTCATGGTCATGGTCATGGGTGGGAGAGGCAGGGAGCACTTGCTCCCAATCAGTGGGTCCACATTGCTCATCGGTGGTGGCATCGCCGCCGGAGATGGCAGTGGAGAGACCACCGCCTCCGACGGCAGTGTTAACGCCGTGAGAGGAAGACACCGTGGAGGAGGATGTAGTGAGAGGGCTGAGAACAGAGGTGGGCTCTAAGTCGGAAGAAGAAGAGAAATAAGAAGAAATCACCTTCCCTTGAAACTCTTCAAAGGGTAAGGGCATTCTCGATGAAGCACTAACAAAATTCACAAATCTCTTTGCCTCACTATCTATCTTCTTCTCTCAACTGTCTTCTGTTTTTTTTCTTCTTCGAGTTGTGGATGCGTGCAGGAAATTAAAGTGGCAATGTGCGCTTCATCCTCTCTCTCCTCTTTTGTGTTTCTTATTTTTTGCTTTCGCCTGTTTTCTGACTTATTACTCTAACAATTATCAATCTTCTCTCTGACAGTTTATGTTATTAATAATCTCTTGCTCTGCTTTCTTAATCTATGTGTTTCTTCGTTCGCTATCCCACTCTCTCACCACGCGCGTGCCTCATAAACTCCTTCATTGTGGAAATAAAATGTTCGGCTTTCCTTATTTTGTAACCATTATTTTGATGACTAATTTCTTCTTTTTCAATCAATAATGCATAATGGAAATTTGAAGTAATATAGTTTATTCTTGATTGTCTAATTACAGATAATCATGTGCAAGAAAAGCAATTAAATGGGAGGGTATTCTAGACTTTAACTCCAAACATCGTCTGAACCATTCTGGTTTTCGAAGCGGGGTCTGACGCCAGTGACATAATTGAACGGCTAAGATACTGTTCTTATACAGGGCAACGAGTGGCTACGATTGATCAGAACCACCACAGATTTTTTTTCATTTTTGCGGTAGTGCCACGGAGGATTTTAAAACATAATTATTTCTCGTAATGAGTTATTATAAACTATTGTTTATAAAAATTACAAAATTTCTATATTCTCATGTTGTTCAGTTGATTTTATATGGCATTGCATTGTGGATATTTTTTGTTCTTTTACTATGCTTTTGTGAAAAAAAACTTGAGTATTTGCATTGTGTATACACACAAAACCTCCAAATTAGCTATATACCCTATTTCCCTCTTCTCTCTCCTCCCACCATTATTATTTTTTCCCCCTAAACTAAGGCAAATTCCTAAATAACTTCTTTTTTTGGTATATTCAGCAAATTCACCCAAAAAACTTTGTGGCTTACAAACTATATTTGGGATCAATTTTGGTTCTATTTATCTCAAAGGTGCTGTCGTTTTTTTCCTTTTTGTGTGTTCTTTGTCCTCAATTGGGTGGGTGTTTTTGGGTCTGGACAAGCTTTTCGGTGAATTTATCAAATGAACCAATCAAATCATTCAGCCCATTGTGGAAGTTAAGCCACACATCGCAATGCTTACGTTTGTTTTCAGCTACGGACAATATTACTCTTGGTTCATAAAATCTAAAACCAAGTTGTGAATGTAATCTTGGAATTATATTTTGAAACATCTGTTTTGTTTTGTTTTGTTTTCTTTTATTAGTTAAATAAATCCTCGTTTATTAGTCCAAATAAATAGCTTAGTTGTAAACAACTAATTATATATTTATGTGTATGTATAAATATACCTTTATGTGGTTATCTTTTTCTGGAAACAAAAGAAAGAAAAGTGATGGAAGATCTGTGACTGATGTTTCTTCTGTGGGAAGTCAAATGCACGAGAGATTGAGAAAAGAAAAGGAGAAGATAGTCCTTTATTGAGCAGACAATGGGTGAATGAAGCAAGTCACCGGTCACCATATATCTACCAAAATAATCAATGAATAATGCAACCAGAAACAACCAAAAAACGAGGTGAGTGGTTTTATCTCCAAAACAAAGTCGGGCCAATTTTGCAATGAGTTGTGACAATTGTTTTTTTTTTTTAACATAGGTTGTGACCATTGTTTAAATTTCATTGTTGTGAAAATGAAAATGTATTATTTTAGCAACTAATTCATTAACTTTCTGATGCAAAACAATTGTGTCAAAATACGTATGCATTTTCTCAAAATATTATCGTGTGCACTAAATGGCAACTTTCGTTCCATATAGGCATACTTGTCAAAATACCATTAAAATGTTTGATGATAATTAACCTTTTAACAATAAATAGATAACTCTAAATTTGGCTATTATATCCATCATCCATGTTCCCATGTGGTTTGCTAACTACTACGTCTCACACTTTCTCTATTATATGATTATTTTTATTATAGATATCGAAATGATCTCGTGATTGTAATCATTTTCTCATGACCCCCTTCTTGTCACTGAATTTTAGGTATACATATCGATTATCGATCAACCAACATCCCATTAAAATAATGCGTACATAATACATTCATTATACACGAGCACATTTTCAAGTTTGTTTTTTCATGATATATTTTATCATATTGGTTATTGCTGGACTATATATGTATATATACGTATGTTGTACATATAACATATGATATATGTATAATGTGGGGGTTGCTTCGTGGGGATGAAGTAAGTGGTGAAAACATGTTCGTTTCTCTTGTCTCAAGAAACCCTTCACCACAAGCAACCACTCAATCCCACGCAATCCCATAGTAATGAGGAATGCTTTTTGACAAAGATTTTAGATGATAAAAGTTAAAAATTTGCGAAAATTCCAGCTTATTGATCCGCATACATTCGGGTTTGTATGAGAAGAATAATGATTTGCCAACATCATTAGAAGGAAAAACAAACAAAAGTCAGCTTGATATATTAACCATGTCAAATAATTATTTAGAAAGGATGACGTGTTCGAGTTTATATGCATGTAACTATATAAATGATTGCGTCGTTCATTTTGTATTAGATTTGTGGATAATGATTAGATTAGACAAAAATGACCAATTAATTATTAGGAGATCACATGGGACATCTAGGAAAAAAACAGTACAAGATTTGTTCTATCTCATTAGACCCAAAGTAATACTCATAAACATGATTAAATAACCAAACAAGATCGGCGGGACGTAACTAACAATTACCCCAATATAAAGTTGGTAAGGACATCTCTCCCCCCTTACTATGCATATTGTTTATACTATTCCTTGCTTATTTTTATGTTTGTCAAATGATATTTCATTTTTTAATATTTCATCTAAACGCTTCTTTAATCTGAATTCTCATTTGATTATGACAATACTTTGTGACTAAATTACTCTGATATAGTCCAACATCTTATTCCTAATTATTTTCTATTAAAAATAAAATAAAATAGTGATATGTAAATCATAACTTTAAGGAAAAATGTCTGCTGGCTAAGTGAAATATTGACCATTATATAGCTGCTAATCATGCATAATAAACTAATGCATATCCAACTAAATGAAATATATGGTATGTATGACAACTTAATGATATTATCTTAGTTAACATGACGAATTTAATTTTATTAATCCAAAAGACGTGTACGTCAGAGTCGTTAACTCTGTTTCTTTTTTTCCGTTGATCATTTAAGATTCTTAGGGAGGCAATATTTTTTTATTGGTAACACATGGTGTTGTTTATTTAGTTTGATTTAGGAATTTAATTCATTGATAACTCAAAAATATAACCAACTATTTATTAAATTTAAATTTCTGAATTTTAAAATTTGACTTATCATGTATTGTAGTTGAGCTAAAATTTTCATATACACCCTTTATAAAATTATTAACTTAACACTTAATTCTACTTCAAAGAGAATTTCATGTTTAAGAAGTTGAGTTACAGATTTAATTGATTTTTCTGTCTAGAAACACAGCCAAAGATAATAATTTTCAAACATTTGTGTGTCAAATTAAGTTATCAATTTTTATTTTTATTTGTAATTTTTTTTCCAAAAAAATGATTAGTGATTCCAATTCACAATTAAAGAAATATCTAATTTTATTTTTGTTTGAAAATATTTATCTACCTAATTTTGTGTTGGTCAAGGGTTTTTATACTTTTATTTTTTATTTTTTTTTGGGCAGCATGATGATTAATAGATCTAAACGAGTTCGTTACACAAAGGGAGAGGGGCAATGGAGAGCTGATTTCGCCAAGGAATCAGCCGTCACATTATGCTCACGACCAACAAAGGAAACAAAGAAGAAATTGAGAGACAATGATAAAAACTCGATATCCATGAGAACTCCGAAAAGCTCCACCTGGTATGACTTCGAGTTGATAGCTCTGACGAGCTCCTGAGACTCGGTTTTAAACCAGACTTTGAGAAGAGATGTGCGCTTTGCTTCCACCACAGCCTCCCTCATGGCCAGCGCATCCGCCATAAGGGGAGATGAGACATGATCTGCCATCCGAGAGTTCGTCCTTCTGAGCGAGAGACCTGCATTGTTGAAACACCAGCCTAGACCTGCTCTAAGGGAGTCAGAAGCCCACGCGGCATCAGGTGGTATCAGGTTGGATGGTTGGGAATTCACGATTGGAAGGATCGGTCTGAGGAATGGGGGTTCCCACTCCCTGCGCCTGCAACCACTCCCGGCCTGAGACAATAGCATTTCCAACCGTTACCTTAGCCGATAAGCTTCTGTTTTCAAACAGTAAAAGGTTCCGTGTAGTCCAAATGTTCCAGAGGAGCCATGATGTGAAGTTACTGGAAATCCCGGTGGCTGGTAGACTGATACATGTTGACATGATTGCAAAGGCATCATGGAGTGAAGTTACAGTGGAGAAGTCTGGTCGTGATCGGACGGGGGCCATGTCCCAAATTTGCTGCGCAAAAGGACAAAGAAAGAAGAGGTGCATTGTTGCCTCCTCCACAAGGCAGTGAGGACACAAACCTTCAGTATTAATTCCGCACCGCCGTAGATTTGCCCCTAGTGGAAGAGCCCCACGAGCCAATTTCCAGAGAAAGAGTTTCAGTTTTGGTGATGTCTCCTCTCTCCAAATAAACTTCTGCCATTTAAAAACCTGTGTCGGGTCCTGCTGTACGTGAAAAGACTCCGCCGTCCCACGCAGGGCGTAGTAGCCTGATTTGACACTGTAGTTGTCTGATTTAGTTCTGTGCCAGATAAAGGAGTCCTCCGTGTTGAAAAGGCTTGGTTGGATAAGGTAGACCTTCTGCGCTAGATCTGGAAGAATAGCTTCAACCCGTTGATGGTTCCAGCCACCGGAACCTCGTAGTAGTAAATCGGAAACGAAGAGGTCCCTGGTGGATTCTGTCGGAGGACCAATAGGGACTACCCGAGAGGAGGTGGAGATCCACGAATCAGACCAGACCTTGGTGTTATTCCCGTTGCCAATAGCTTTTTCTAGCTGTAGCTTCAGCACCTGTAACCCTGCTACAATGTCTCTCCATCCGTGTGATGCTGAGGGAGAACAAGAGGCAGCAAGGAAATTCGAGTTATTGCAGTACTTTCCTAGGAGGAGACGGACTAAGAGACATTGTGGTGAGGTTAAAATACGCCATGAGTTTTTTGCCAGCATGGCAGTGTTGAAGTCGTGGATATCCCGGAAGCCCAACCCGCCAACGTCATTATG